AGTCTTAAGCAGCAGGTATCTGAGTCTGTCACCCTCCCACTCCTGTCACCCTCCTGCTGCTCTTGGGATGATGTTTTCTCACCAGGTCCTGACCCTGCCTGCTCTGCCTCTTCATGCTTGCCTCTCATGCTTCCTGAGAGATGAGGAAGGGCAGGCTGAGATTGCATGGCTTCTCGGTGGAGGCTGCAACTTGTGCTGGCTGGGGCATGGGATGGTGTAGGAGACCGACTCCAGGAGCCCCTCCAAACTACTCCAAGCTACACCAGGCTCCACCTTCTCCCTCTGGGAGCCTTCCCAGACATCCAGCTGTGGAGAAGGTGGATCCAACTTCCCCAACCAGGACCGGGGGACCAAGGCTACTCCAAATGAGTATCCACTACAGGGCACTGACCATTGTGTCCTTCCACGGTGGCACCTCGGACCAGGACTGCCCACCGCTGAGCTTCTTGAGGGTTGAGGAAGTGCAGGCTGAGGGTTCCAGGCCCTCCTGGTGGAGGCTGCAGCTCGTGCTGGCTGGGGCCTCGAATGGTGTAGGAGACTGACTCCAGAGGCCACTCCAAACTGACCTGAGGAGGGGGAGAGTCCAGGCTCAGAACTTCCCCTGGCCCTATAGCGCATGATGAGCGAAGGAACACAAGGTAACATTTACAGGCCATTTACACGGTCTTAAGTCCTGTTCACTTATCATCAAATCCTAATAGTCCTGTAAAGTAGGTCCCAGCATTGCCCCCATTTCACGGACGAAAAAACAGAAGCAAAGAAACATAACTGCTTAAGGGCACCCAGGTGGCAGGCGGAGGGGCCTGGCCTCGGGGTCCGGGCCCCACCCGGGCCAAGAGGACTTGACCGTGCAACTCTGTCCCCACTCACCGCCCCGGGTCCCGCGCCCAGCAGCTCCAGCCGGAAGCGCCCAGGCCGCTCAGGGTCCGCGCTCAGCTGCAGCCTCCGCAGCTGTGTCTCGGCGTCTGGCCCGGCGCCCAGCGGCCTCACCGCGGCGTGCACAGCCAAGAGCACCGTGGCCGAGCCCGGGTCAGAGGCCGCCGCCGCCCCGCCTGCCGGGGGCGCCATCTCCGGTCCGGCCGGGTCTCGACCCTCCGAGCGCGCTTCCGTGGGATCCGGCCGTTGAGCGCCTCCGCCGGCCGGAAACGCGAGCCGCGAGCCTGGGGTTCCGGGCGCGCCCAGAGCGTCGGGCCAGGGACGGAGCTGAGTACTGGACCCTGGCCGAGTCGGCCCTGCTGGCTTTGCCCAGACATGGACACGGCCCGAGGGTTTCCGGACACGGGCTGGGCGAGGCCGGCGGTGTGCACGAGCCTGGGGCAGGGCGGCGGAGGCGCTCACATTTAACCTTTGGGGTCGAAGGGTCAGGAGCTGAAGCACCGGCCACAACTGAAGGCGGGCGCGGCCTCTGCGCCCCAGGGGCTCGGCGGGCGGAGCTGCAGCCGGCGAGCGACTACCCCAGCGCCTGGCTGCAGCTGGACGCCGCTCCCGGGCCCCACAGTGGGCGCCACCGTCACGCCCACACGTAGCACTAGGTTGGCCCGCACCGCTCTAGGTACGCTACGGGGCGACCCCCTCGGGGGCGGAGCGAGAGAGACCGCGGCCAATGAGCGCCGAGGGTAGGCGGGTTAGTACGGCGAGAGGCGTGACAGACAGGCTCCAGAACCAGTAGACATAGAAGACAGAACTAAGTGGCGGGTAAGGCCGCCAATGACTATTTGAGTTCTTGATCCAGGAGACGGGAGCGGGCCATTCAGAGGCGCGGGGCCGGGCCTGGCGGACGCTTGTTGTTGTCCGGCCGGGGGAGGCGGAGGTCGCTGGCTCGCTCGCTCGCTCGCTGACTTGCCAGGGTGCTCTGTGTCGGTCGGCGGCAGGTCGGTCGCGAGAGCGGGCTCTGTGCAGGGGGGCGAGGCTATGTCGCGGTGGCAGCCCGGATGGGCCGTCAGGGCCGGGAGTAACGGGACGTCGCCGCGGAGCTTCTTCCCCCGGATACAGTGCGGCCCGAGCGGAGGCCGCGGCGCCGCCCTCCGATCCTGAGAAGCCCACGCTGCGCGGAGCCCGCCCCTGCCTGCGCACCGGCACCGACGCAGAGCTACCTAGCCAAGCCAGGCCCGGCCTGGCGCGGCCCGATCCGACCCAGCCAGGCAGGTGGGTGTCCGCCCTGCTCCCCGCTCTGTCTCGGGCCGCCGGAACTACAGCCCCCAGCAGGCCTCGCGCGGCGCGCTGCCTCCTGGGACTTGTAGTTCCACCTGGCTCGGCGGGTGCCCGGCCCGGCCGACTCTGCAGCACCCCAGCGGGGCCGAGGGACCGCCCTCCTAGGCGCCCGGAGAAACTAGGCGCTCTTTCAGAGTAGCGTGGAGGAGCCTGTAGCTTTCCTCTCCCCTGACCAGAAAACAGCCAGAACAACAGAAGAGCGCCTGCCCAGGTGACCGCAGGGCCTGGAGTCCCAGGTGTCCTGGTTCCTAACCGGGATACAACCTCTTACCCCGGCCTAGGAGCCCAGCCAGCCTGAGGGAGACTGCAGGGTCGTGTCCCGTTGCGGACTCAAAAGTTACCCCCATGGTGGCTGGAGCTCTTCTTTCGGGGTGGGGATGGGGAAGGTTGAGCAACAAGCTAAGCTAGCAGCCCCAGGGCGAGCAGGGTCCCCGGTGGCCCCAGCCTCACCCCAGAACTCGCGCGCCCTGTAGGGGGTGTGGCTGACCTGGAGCCCAGACTTGCCACCCTCAGGTAAAACAGAATCTCATCACCTCTCCGGGCCGGGCAGTGGGGGGGGCTCCTCATGTGCAGCCTAAACAGGGGCCCGAGTCAGCTTGTTCCCAGTGGCTCCACTTAGTGGGTAGGAGGGCTGAAGGCAGGTCCCCAAGGGCCAAATACCCATGGTCTGGCCTCTCACTCCCCAGGCAGCACTAGCCCCCCTGGAGCACGGAGCTCCCTCCCAAGGACATGAAGCTGTTGGAGAACTCGAGCTTTGAAGCCATCAACTCACAGCTGACTGTGGAGACCGGAGATGCCCACATTATCGGCAGGTGAAGCAGGCTGGGGGGACTGGCATCTCGGTGGGTCACACGGCCCTGCCCTTGAATGGAACCTGGGGGAAGAGTGCTTCATGGTCCCCCTGCATCCCATAGGATTGAGAGCTACTCATGTAAGATGGCAGGAGATGACAAACACATGTTCAAGCAGTTCTGCCAGGAGGGCCAGCCCCACGTGCTGGAGGCACTCTCTCCACCCCAGACCTCAGGCCTCAGTCCCAGCAGGTGAGCCACGGTGGGGCCCACCTGGGGCTGGGGGTTGGGGGTTAGGGGAAGGTGATGGGCCCAGCTGATGCTCCTTCCTCTGCAGACTCAGCAAAAGCCAAGGCGGAGAAGACGAGGGCCCCCTCAGTGACAAGTGCAGCCGCAAGACCCTCTTCTACCTGATTGCCACACTCAATGAGTCCTTCAGGCCCGACTATGACTTCAGCACAGCCCGCAGCCATGAATTCAGCCGGGAGCCCAGCCTTAGCTGGGTGAGGGTCAGGTGGAGGGAAGGGACCCACAGCCAGCCCCCTGTCCTTCTCCACTTTCAGTAGTCCCTGGGCTCCTGTCAGCCTGACTGTGGCCTGCCCTAGGTGGTGAATGCAGTCAACTGCAGTCTGTTCTCAGCTGTGCGGGAGGACTTCAAGGCCCTGAAACCACAGCTGTGGAACGCGGTGGACGAGGAGATCTGCCTGGCTGAATGTGACATCTACAGGTGGGCTGGCATCCCTGCAGGTGGGCCCCCAGGTATGTGTGGCACTTGGGGCCTCACACCACCTGTTGTCCTGTACTCCCCAGCTATAACCCAGACCTGGACTCAGACCCCTTCGGGGAGGATGGCAGCCTCTGGTCCTTCAACTACTTCTTCTACAACAAGCGGCTCAAGCGAATTGTCTTCTTTAGCTGCCGCTCCATCAGGTGGGCACCATCCACCTCTTCCCCCAGCTCCCTGTTGGGCCCATACAACTTCCCCAGCTGTGCCATCTCCACTCGGCTTTGTTCTCCCTGAACATCCTCCCTGGGGCCAGCAGCAGGCCTGGGTAGGGGGTCCTAAAACTGGTTTCCCTGTCTCCCCTCAGTGGCTCCACCTACACGTCCTCAGAGGCAGGCAATGAGCTGGACATGGAGCTGGGGGAGGAGGAGGTGGAGGACGAAAGCAGAAGTGGAGGCAGTGGGGGTGGGGCCGAGGAGACGAGCACCATGGAGGAGGACAGGTGTGTGATGGGGGCTATGACACGGGTCCCTGGAGCCTCCAGTGGGTACAACAGGGTGGGGCCTTCTCTGCTTGGTCTAAGTGGTGGCACCTGAAGGCCCACTGTGTGCCAACCTCCACCCAGGGTCCCAGTGATCTGTATGTGATGAGGAGGAGCAGAGGCCCCAGCTTCTTCCAGCTTCAACCAGTGCCTGGACCTGTCTGCCTGAGAGGCCCCTGGGGCCTCCCCAGCTGCTGGCCAGACCCTGGCACTGCCACAGTCCTGGCACTGCCCAAGGCCACACCTGCCTAGCCCTTTGGCTCCAGCCTGTGGATGCCCACTCACCCCCCAGGCTCCCGCTGCCCATGCTGTGGCCAGACTCTGCAGCAGGGGACCTGGTGGGAAGAGCAACTGCCCTGCCCAAATGAACTGCCACAAGCAGGGACAGCTGGACCACAGAGTTTATTTTTGTATTTCTTCTGGGCCTACACACTCCAGCCCAAAGGGCCTGTGGCCAGAGGCCCCGCAAGCAGGCCCCAGCGGTCACCGGCTCTGGTCTTGGGCCGGCCCCTGGTGCCCACCTGTACCCCCCACCTTGCCCATTTGGCCACGTGCACTGAGTGTCACTTTGCTGCAGCTCGTTCCTTTACAATAAAAGTTTCTGTGACTTAGCGTGGGCCTGGTGCGATGTGGGGGCGGGGCCTGCGATGTGGGTGTGGCCGTCTGCATCTGGTATCCTAGCAACGGGGGCCACGGGCCGCGACCGCTAAGTCCTGGAAGCTGTTGGGCTCTGGGACCGCAGTCGCTGAAATGGAGGCAGAGGTGTGGGAGGCAAGCAACTTCTCAGAAGGCTACAACCTAGCTCTGGATTCAGACCTGTATGATGCAGATGGCTATGATGTCCCAGACCCCGGGCTGCTCACGGAAAATAATGGTGAGGGGGCCTGGCCTCGCCCCACAGGCATCCCGCTAGGAAGTGGGGCTCAGTCGGCTTGGGTTCCATCCCCTGGATCGAAAGTCCCCTGGGCAGTGCCCAGCAGGGCTGAGCCCCTGGAAGAGAGCTCCCTATAACCGTCAGGAAATGGGACCTGAGGCTGCAGATGGCGGAACTTCCAACTCCCACCCGCAGAGTGGACTTTCACGGAGCCGCCGCAGGTCCTGCCGTTTCTGACCAGCAGCCGGCGGTGGCCAAGCCTGACCCCACGCCCCCGTGCCCGCCAGCTGTGGCTGCTCTTGCGCAGCAGCCTCCACGAAGTTGTGGAAAAGGTGCGGTGCACCCCTGGTGTGCCTCCAGGCCTCTCTCTGGATCTGGCCCTTCCCCTGGGGGTCCCCTAGGCCAGAGCAGTCCCAACCTGTGATTGCGGGTCCGCCCACCCCGGCCCACAGGAGAAGAGAGCCGAGCTGTGCGTGGCGCGTCTGACGCACGGGCTGGAGCCACTGCGCCGCCTGGACGTGGCGGCCGGGCTGCGCTCGGTGGCGCAGGACCCTGCAGGCGGACGCTTCGTAGTGCTGGACGGCGCGGGCCGCCTGCACCTGCACAAGGAAGACGGCTGGGCACAGGAGATGCTGCCGGCGCCCGTCGGGCTCACGGGGCTGGTGACCGTGCTGGGCCCGTTGGGCTCGGTGGGCCGTTTTGTAGGTTGGGGCCCCGCAGGGCTGGCCATTCTGAGACCCAACTTCAGCCTGCTGTGGCTGAGCGAGCAGGGGGTGGGCAGGGCGCCGGGTCGGGCACCCTCCTGCTGTCTGCCAGTGCCTGACCTCAGGCTGCTGCTTGTGGCGGAGACCGACGGCAGCCTGGCGCTCTGGCAGTTCTGCTCAGGTGGTCGCCGCTTGGTGCTGCGAGGGGCACCACTGCATCCGCCCCTGAGCCCAACGGCCAGGCTCATGCGTCTGGCTGTGGGGCCGACTCCTCCCCACAACGTTCTGCGCTGCTTCGCGGCCTACGGCTCGGCTGTGCTCACTTTCGATCTCCATGCCTGGGCTCTTGTAGATGTGCGCCGGGATTTGCACAAAACGTGAGTGGGGTCCCCCTAGGGAGGGTCAGGCACGTAGGGGCCCACACCCCTCACGCACAAGGCGGTGTTAAGTCCGTTGGGCTTCTTCCATTCCCCTTCTATAGCACCATCTCGGACCTGGCTTACTGCGAGGAGGTATTGGCAATGGTGACAGCTTCCCGGGACAGCACCGTGAAGGTGTGGGAGGCTGACTGGCAGATCCGGATGGTGTTCGTGGGCCACACAGGTGCTCCGAGTTCTCTACACCCCGAGCCTCGGCCCTTTGCCTCCAGCAGCTCTAGGCTGCCCAGCATCTCTGCAGCTCTGGCCAGGCCTCGCTGCGCTGACTGTGACACTGGCTGAAGGCTCCCCTGCCTTCAGTCACCTGAGTGACCTGCACCCCTCCCGCAGGCCCGGTGACGGCTGTGGCCGTGCTCCCGAACACGACCCTGGTGTTGTCGGCCTCGCAGGACGGAACGCTGCGCACCTGGGACCTGCAGGCGGCGGCGCAGGTGGGCGAGGTAGCGCTGGGCTACTGGGGCCAGGACAAGCTGTCTGGGCGCGTGAGCCGTCTGCTGGCCCCAGTGCGCCCTGGCTGGCCAGTGCTGTCTCTGTGCGCCAGCAGCGTGCAGCTGTGGCACATGCGCGAGCTCTACTCGCCGTTAGCGCAACTGCCCGCCAAGGTGCTCCACTTGCAGGTGGCGCCCGCGCTGCCAGTGCCCGCGCAGCCATCCCTGCCTACGCGCCTGGTGTGCGCGTGCACCGACGGCTCGGTCTACCTCCTGTCGGCTGCCACCGGGCGCATAGTGAGCGCACTGCTGCTGGAGCCAGAGGACTGTGCGGCCGCTGTGGCCTATTGCCTGCCGTGCGAGGCGCTGTGGCTGCTGACCAAGGCCGGGCACCTGGTCCGCGCCAATGCGGCGCGCTGCCCCATGTCTGTGCTCCACCGCTTGTGCCCGCCTCCGCCCCCTGCGCCGCAGCCTTGCTGTCTGCACCTGTACAGCCACCTCAGGGACCTCGGAGGCGCCTTCTCCTCCTGGGAGGTTGTGCGCCAGCACCTGGGGGAGTTGCGCCGCAGCGCTGTGGCCGCCGCCTGGAAGAATAAGAACCGGTGGGTGCGGGAGCCAGCAAGGGCCTGGCGGGCGGAAGGAGCACGGGGCCCGCGCCAACAAGCTCTTCCCACCCGCAGGTACCTGCCCGTGGTGGGGCACACGGACGGCACACTGTCGGTGCTGGAGTGGCTCTCATCGAAGACTGTCTTCCAAACGGAGGCGCACAGCCCGGGCCCGGTCGCCGCCATCGCATCCACCTGGAACAGCATCGTGTCTTCGGGTGAGTAGCTCCCCTGCCCTGCGGCCAGCCCGCCACGGGGCTCCTCCCCTCCGCGAAGGCCCAGCCAAGCTCCGCCCCTGCAGGTGGGGACCTGACAGTAAAGATGTGGCGCGTATTTCCCTACGCGGAGGAGAGCCTGAGCCTGCTGCGCACCTTCTCCTGCTGCTACCCAGCCGTGGCGCTCTGTGCGCTGGGCAGACGCGTCACCGTGGGCTTCGAGGACCCAGACAGCGCTACCTACGGCCTGGTACAGTTCGGCCTGGGAGACAGCCCGCGATTAGACCACCGGCCCCAGGATGACCCCACAGACCACATCACCGGTGAGGGGGCAGCGCGGGTGAAGCGCAGCCACCGCACGGCTCCGATTCCTGACGCTGAGCCCTGCCCCCAGGCCTGTGCTGCTGCCCGACGCTCAAGCTGTACGCCTGCTCCAGCCTGGACTGCACCGTTCGCATCTGGACCGCTGAGAACCGCCTCCTGCGGTGGGCTGGGGCCTGGGGAGGGCTGGGCTCTCCTACCTCTGCCCCTCACCAGAGCCCAGTGGCTAGATGGGGTGGAAAAAGGCCTTGTCCCTACTGAGCCTCAGTTGCCCACTCTGGGAAGCAGAGGCTGGACTTTGGCCCCTGGGTGCCCCTCCAGGCTCCTGCAGCTGAATGGTGCCCCTCAGGCCCTGGCTTTCTGCAGCAACAGTGGAGACCTGGTGCTGGCACTGGGCTCCCGCCTCTGCCTGGTGTCCCATAGGCTCTACCTGCCTACATCCTACCTGGTTAAGGTGTGTGGTGAGGACAGAGTGGGCAAGGTTGCCCCCCTTTGCCCACCTTGGGAGGCAGACTCCGGTTTCCCCAGCCAGGGATATAGGTTCCTTCTCTTATTCAGAAGATGTGCCGGAAGGCCCCAGACGTAGTGGACGACCCTCCCCTGCCACTAACGAGCCAGGAGTCACTGACCTCCACCCAGCTGCAGAGGCTCACCAACCTCCATGGGGCAGCCAGTCTCAGGTCCTATGCAGGCCTGCTCAGCCCTCCCGGAGGCCCCCCTTTCCCACCCTGGGTGGGAGCCTGGCTGTGTGGGCCCCTGGGGAGTTGATGCAAGCCCACGTGAGCCCTGGCACCCCCATTTGGGGTTGGTCCTTGTCCCAGGCTTTGCCCCAACCCACTGGCATGCCGTCCAGCACCCCACCTATGCCCGTCCCTGTCTGCAGTGAGGCCTTGTCTCTCATCCATCGTCGGAGGGCAACATATCAGCACCCGGTGCTGAAGGAGGTGGGGTGGATCCTCCTTCGCCCACCCTGCCCAGGTTCAGGCCCCAGCCCTCAGGCCTGGGGCGGGCCTGGGATCCCCGTGGTTGCCTGGGAAGCACATGGCAAGGCTCAAGGAGGAGGAGGCTGACCCCCGAACCCTGCCTCAGGACTTGGATGCCCTAGTGGCCCGGGACCAAGACCTTCAGCAGTTGAGACGGGGGCTAGTGGTCCCAGCAGCCCGGCCCCCACCCTCCTGGCAGCAGCGCCAGGAAGCCTTTGACAATTACCTACGTCTGATCTACGGCTCTGGCCTGCTGGTGGGTGTGGGGCCTCCCCTAGCCCAGCCCTGACCCCGGCCTCTCCTCTCCACCCACCTCTCCCACCCAGTCTCTGACACCGTCCATCTGCTCCCACCCCCTTCCCAGGGCATGCAGTCCACAAGGGAGTCCCAGCGGTGGAGCACCGGGACCCTCACAGTGGAGAGAGAGACCTGGGATGTGTGTGCCCTACCTCAAGCTGCCCCCTGTCTTGGGCAGGCTGAGGTCAGCACTGCAGTCCAAACAGTGCCAACAGCCCTGTCCCCACAGGACCTGGGGGCCCTGTGCCAGCACTTCTCCCGGCCTCCCCAAGTCACAGTGCCTATCCCACCCACCCACCAGAGGGTGCACAGCAAGGCATCCCAGGTGAGACTTCCCACCCTCTCGTATGCCTGCTGGGCTCCCATGGCCCCTCTGCCGCCCTGTGACTCCTCCTGTGCCCCAGCTTCTGGCCCACTCCTCACTCAGCCACTACCTGGGCCTCAGTCTGGAGCTGCAGCTGCAGGTGGAGCAGCTCCAAGGGAGGACAACCATGGCCCTGGACCTGCCATCCTCCCACCTGCAGTGCAGGGAGAGGGACCCAGGCAGGTGGGGTACCACCTACTGAGGCACAGAGCTGCAGGGGCACTGGGCTATGCTGTTCTGAGCCCCTGTTCCATCCCCAGATCCCACTGTTGCCAAAGAGACGTCCCCAGGAACCTCTCTCTCACCTCAGGGGCTTCTTTCCTGCCACCGTGCAGCCCCACAAGGTGAGACCCCACCCAGCTCCTGGAGAGCCACTCCTCTCTGGGGTCACTCTTGTGCCTGCCCTCTCCCCTTTGCTGCAAACCTTTGTGTCCAAATCTGACCCAAGGGCAATGCCCACCTACAGTCAGAGGGCCAGGCTGCAGCCTCCCTCACCCCTCACCCTTCACCCTCTGTCTACCCCTGTTCTGGTACAGCTATGTTTGTGGCCACAGGCTCCTTGCTGCTCTGGGAGCTGACATCAGGCAAACCCAGGCCCCCCGGCCAGTTATGCCTGCACACCCCTTTCCCAGAGGTGCTGGGAGGGCAGGTCCCCTAGGGACTTTTCCTGGAAGATCAGAGTTCCTGCCCTTTAGGGGAGCAAAGTCATGGGAACCTGGCCCTTCAGAATCCACTGTCTTTCCGCCCTCACCTACAGCAGGTGCCCAGGCAGGCCTCAGCCCCTCCCCCAGCATATGCCTGGTAGCATCACCTTCCCAGGTGCGTTATTGACTCTTTGGACCTGGGCACCACCATCACACTCTCTGTTGCCCTCTCTCCAAGCTGCTTCCTTCCTCCCTGGCCCCCGTGCTGCTTTTAGACTTTGTTGTCCCAGGGCTGGCGCCAAGTCCTGTGAGGAGATTGTGGGGTGTCGGGACCCCTAGAGGCCAGCACTTCCCCAGGTTTCCCTTCTTGTTTGTCACAGCTGATGCTCACTGAGGACCCCGCCCCTAGTATCTCAGGGTTCTCCTGCCATCTGTTCTCCAGGGGCTGCCAGCTCTTGGAGGCCTGGCAGACAGAGCTGGACTGGTGGCTGAGGGGCTCTGAGAGGTGATATGGTGACCAGGGGTGGTGTCCAGACTGGGGGAATCCAGGTTCTCAGCATTCCCTGGTGTGCTCACCTCTAGTACTGCCCGAGGCCCATCTGCTTCCCTGGCTGCGTGCCCAACTCTGCGGTGCTGCAGCAGCTGTGGCTGCCCGAGGAGGTCAGCAGCCCCGGAGCCCTGACCCAGCTCGCCTCCCAGAGAAGGCTCAAGGCAAGGGGTAGGGCTGGGGGCTTTGCCGGCAGGGGAGGGCTCTGCTGTCCTTGCAGCCCATCAGACACCACCTTTTGCCCCTCTGCAGTCAGGGGCAAGCCAGGATGACTTGTGGCTGTGGCGCCCCAGGCCGTCCCAAGCCCAGTGGCAGAGGAAGCTGCTCCAGTGGCTGGAGGATAAGGAGGAAGAGGAGGAGGAGGAGGAGGAGGAGGAGGAGGAGGAGGAGGGGGAGGAGGAGCTGGACTGGGGCTTGGATTCCCTGAGCCTGCACTCCAACCAACGGCTGAATTCCTGGGAACTGGAGGATCAGGTAGAGGCTCGGACAGGGGCCCCAGGCCACCATGGGAGCTGGGCTTACACTGAGACCCGGAGAAGTGGAGCCTGCAGCTGCTGCCACTCCCCTAGAGCGCTGTGGACTGGACCCAGGAGCCCCGGCGGCGCACCTGTGAGGCTGCCAGAACCCACCTTCATCCCTGGCACCATCATGGGCATTTGCTCTTCGATGAGCGTTATGGGCATCTGCCCAAATTTCTGCATTTCTTCATCTACCAGACCTGGTTCAAAAAGTTATTCCCCATCTTCAGCCTGCAGGTTCGAGGGAACTGGGGGTGCCTGAGAAGCGTGGGTTAGGGTGAGGGACAGGGGAGAAGGGAGGGGCTGGCTTGAGTGTGACATGGGAGCAGGGCCTCAGCATGCTGCCCTGCAGGTGTATCCGGAGGCGGGCACCGTGGAGGGCCTGGCCTCGATGTTGGTGGCCCTGCTGGAGAAGACCACGTGGGCGGACCGTGTGCACATCCTGCAGGTGCTGCTGAGACTGCTGCCCGACATGAGCAGCCATCTCCACGACCGGCTGCAGGGCCTGCTCATACACTTGCTCAACCTGGACCGGCCCCCCAGCCTCCAGGTGTGCCCCTCTAGCTGCCCCAGTCTCCCTCCCCGCCCACTCGCCCTCACCAACCACGTCCCCTGCCGGCCTCAGGACCAGACGCAGAAGAAGTTCGTGGTGCTGGCGCTGCAGCTGCTCCTGGCCTGCTCCCTGGAGTCCCGGGACGTGGTGCTGGAGCTCATGTCCTACTTCCTCTGCTCCCCAGCGCACTGCCGGTGAGTCACGCCCCTGCCTGGACCTCCCCATGCTGGGAAGGCCTCGGGACCATCCACATGCACCTGTCCCAGGCCAGAGCTCAAGAAGCTGCTGCGTGGGCTGGGCCTTCAGGACCCGGAAGGCTTCCTGTTCAAGGAGATGATGACCTGGGCCCAGGACCCCAGCCTGGACTCCAAGGCCGCCCTGCGCACTCGCTGCTCCCAGAAACTGGAGGACATGACCCAGAAGCTTCAGGTTGGGTCAGCAGGGCCCGGGTGGGCCTTGGGAAGCCTGTTGCCTTCTCTGGCTTTCTGCAAGTCCGTCCTGGGGGCGGAGCCAGCTGAGGCCATGGGCTCCTCGCCTTGCCCAGTCCTGGGCCTCCAGCCTCCCTGCCCTAAGCATGTCTGGGGATTTCCCTGTGCAGGTGGAAGTCAACAGAGGGTGTCTGGCTTGAGCCAGGGATGGCTTTGGGACCTCCTTGTTGAGGGAGGGGCAGCCCCTGCCTTGGGCTGAGGGCCGGGTAGAAGGGAGTTTCTGTGGCCATGCAGGTGCTCAAAGAGCCAGGGTGCTTGGCCGTGGGTAACCTCCCAGACAGATGGAAAGCTCACAGCCACTGTCTGCAGCCAAGTTGCTGGTGGTGCTGCCCAAGGTCTCCAAGACCTCAGTGCTTTCCTCTCCTCCCAAGGAGACCCCATCGCAGGCTTCAGTGGTCTCTGGGGCACCCAAGCATGCTTCTGTGACACCCTTGGGCACCTCCTGGTCACCCTCAAGCATCTCCAGGAGGCTCTCAGAGGTCTCAGAGGTGCCCTTGGTGGTGGCTTCACCTGTGGAGCTGCACTCGGTAACCCCAGAGCTCCAGGCCACTCGGACGCTGGCATTGGTGCACAGCCGGGGGACCCGCCGCATGCTCTCGGAGATGCTGCAGAGCTTCTCCCTGAAGCCCAAGGCACGCGTGTGCCCTGCGGGGCCTGCTGAGCTGCCCGGAGAGCCGCTGCCACTGGAGGAGACGGACTGGTCACACTCGCAGCTGCTGGACTTGGGCGCCATCGATGCACTCAACTTCTTCTGCGAGCAACTGCGGGTGCAGCCGTGGAGCACCGTCTGGGAAGAGACAGCACACTCGTACCTGCCAGGGCTGGACTTGGTGGCGGCAGTGCCCGATGCGGTGGTGCCGGTGCCGGTGCCGGACGCGGTGGTGCCGGTGCCGGTGCCCGACACGGTGGTGCCACCACCCCAGGAGCACTGGTGCGTGGGGCCTGCACCAGCGGGGCCTGCGTGGGGCAGCCAAGCGGGGCTGGGACAGCTGAACCCGCCTCTTGCCCCCCAGGTACCGCCCGATCCTCCGGCTGCAGGAGGCTAAGGAGCAGAGGTCTGCGAGGTCCACGATAGGACTGAGGGGTGAGTGGGGACGTTGGGGAGATTGGGCCCCCACCCTGCCCCAGCCCCTCAGCCTCACAAGCCTCTGCCCACCCCCAGGCCCGATGCCATCCCGGCTCTGTGCCCGCCGCACCCTGGACGGCCCCATCCGGATGATAAAGCTGCCACTGCCCCGTGTGGAGCTGCAGCCCTTCCCCCCTGACTGGCCCACGCCTGCCCGCCCACTGCCCCCGAGGCTCCTGCAGCCTGCCCTGCAGCGATACTTTCTGCCGGAAAACGCAGACCCTGACACCTACAGCTGACCGGGCTGGTGGCCTCAGCCCGCCTGGCTCTGGGGCCTGCCATTGGTATTTGGCCATGACCTGCGTCTGGAATAAAGCCCAGAGCCTTCCACGTGATGCTGCCTCCTTTGGAGGGCCCTGGGGCACGCAGGGAGGGTGGGCATGTAGCCTGAGCCCACAGGGGCAGTGGAAGGCGGGAGCTGCAGGCCTGGTGGAGGTGGTCAGCCTGGGCACCAGCATTTCCAGAGGGGTGGCTGGCCTAGGGCAGAAGAGACCCATAGCAGGGCGCCATCCGCTAGGCACTGAGCAAACGTTTTCTGCTCAAGTACTAGGTGTTGAGATGCGGGCTGACCTTAGAGAGTGTGTCCTGAGCTAGCCCACAGCCTGGTGTGGAGGGGAGGCCGGGAAGGCCTGGGCGGCCACAGGAGGAGCCTTCCAGGTCGATACAGGTGAGACCAGGAGTTTGCAGACCTTGCTTTTTTGTTACTTTTATTCTGGAAAACAGAAGAATTGACCAAGGCACCAGGAGTTTTTGTCTGAGCAGGAATGAAGAGGATCCTCTGACCCTTTTAGCCTAAAAGTCCCTGGGGGACTGGCTTGGTCCCCGAGGGCTCAGCCTCTTTGCCAGGCTCCTCTGCACCATGTGGCTGGCAGGGCATAAAACCTGAGAACAGAGCTGTTGCGGCGGCTCTGGGGAAAACCCCCGGCATTTACACCTGTCTTTTGTGTTGTCTGAGCAATGATTTCTCTCCTGTATTTCTAGCCTCTGACTTTACCGGTTTCTTCTCAACGGCTCTGGTGGTTAGAATCGCTCTTCCATGCCTTCCCTGTCACCCCAACCTGTGCAGTGGCCCTTATGGGGCCAGTAAGTGGTGGCTGTTTCCCAGGCCAGTGCTTGAAACAGCGGTGCCACCATCCCAAGAGCACTGGTGTGTGGGGCCGTGGAGGATGGCCGAGTTGCTGGGCCAGACCTCCCTCTTCACCTCCAGGCACTACCCCATCCTCCCACTGCAGGAGGCCGAGGTTCACAGGTTTGCGATGAGACTGAGGGCTGACTCTGTCACTGGAGGGCTTGACACTTTTTTTTTTTTTTTGAGACGGAGTTTCGCTCTTGTTACCCAGGCTGGAGTGCAATGGCGCGATCTCGGCTCACCGCAACCTCCGCCTCCTG